AAAGGGCCTTGGGAGGCGTGAGATCTCCATGGGTGGAGTTCATTCTTTAAACGAGGGCCTTGAACACAGAGCAGCCAGCTATCTAGGCAGCTGGATGGCAAATGGGGCCTGCCATGTTTGGCAGGCCCTTCCTGAAAGGAAGTTCCTGTCCAGAATAACTTTAGGAGTCACGAGAGTATGAAGGAGACCACAATGCCATGAACTTGAGAGAAAACTTAGGTACATATGGAAATGGACTAATTTGCTTATAAGAGACAAAAGTGAGATTTCTCCCTCTGTTTTGTCTATGGCACAGAGAGGGCCCTGGCATTTTGGCTCTTATGTGATCTTATTTTCTGCTTCTACTATCTTCTCTATAGCCATTGTGCTCTGTAAAGAGCAACTGTGGATCCCTCATTTAATTCAAGCACCTAAGTGCCATAATTAAAGTTTACCCCACTGGGGAGAAAAGAAGATTCCAAGTGGGTGCCATTGCCCCTAGGCAAGCAAGTTTTCTCTGAAATGTTGTGGGCTTCCCACTTATGCTTAAAATGTTTTCTTTGCCTCACTTTCCTCTACCAGGTTATTGAAAGCAATGGGATGGCAGGAGTATCCTGAAAATGATGAGAACTGCCTTCCCCTCACAGAGGATGAGCTCAGAGAGTTCCACTTGAAGACCGAGCAGGTATGTCATAAACCTTTCCTGGAGACCAGTTCATGACTAGGAGAGAAAGGAATCAGGACATCCTTGTCCTTAGGGAGTCCCAGTTTAGTGTGAGAGAAGGACCGTGGAAAAGAAAATATAAAGTGAGTTGCCATAGTAAAAATAGAAGTGTATCACTGCCTAGGCAGTAGGGGTCTCCAGGAGAAGATACAGAAACTAGGTCAGCAGTTTGCAGATTTCAGAAGGTAGTATATCCTTCCATCCTGATAGCTCTAACTAAACCGGAACCACAAGACCGTGTTCCAGAGTTAGGGCTCAGCCCTTGGTCTCTAGAGTAGCAGGCCCAGCCTCCCCTGCCCTCAGCCTTACCATTTCCCTCGGATATTCTGGCCAGAGACAAGAAACAACATATTTAAATTCATTCAACAAATACTTGGAGCCTTTCTCTTAGTGAAACATTGCCATATCCTAGGGTTTATAGTAGTAAGCAAGATAAGGAGTCTCTATAAACCTCATGGAGCCTAAATTCTGGTGGTATTTATATTTTATTTACATGTAATTATATTTATAGCATTTATGTTGCAGCACAAATAACAACAGTATCAAGTCCTATAAAGAGAAATTACAGAGGCGCCTGGGTGGCTCAGTCAGTTAAGCGTCCGATTTTGGCTCAGGTCATGATCTCACAGTTTGTGGGTTCGAGCCCCACATCGGGCTCTGCTGACAGCCAGCTCAGAGCCTGGAGCCTGTTTCAGATTCTGTAGCTCCCTCTCTCTCTGACCCTCCCCTGCTCATGCTGTCTCTCTCTCTCTCTCCCCCTGTCTGTCTCTCAGAAATAAATAAAACATTAAAAAAAAATTTTTTTAAAGAGAAATTACAGGCTGACAGAAAAATTTTGCTACTGTTTCCTCAGTCATTGAAAAATTGGAAAAACAGAATCTGAAACCCTACCTACTGAAATCAGATTCTGCATTTTAAAAAAAAGTCATTAAATGATTGATTTGTACATTAAAGTTTGAAAAGCACAGCTCTGTGAAATCTTTGATCTCTTAGAAGGGCACTATCTAGGGGCGCCTGGATGGCTCAGTCGCTTAAGCATCCGACTTTGGCTCAGGTCATCATCTCACAGTTCGTGGGTTCGAGTCTCGCATCGGGCTCTCTGCTGACTGCCAGCTCAGAGCCTGGAGCCTGTTTCAGATTCTGTGTCTCCCTCTCTCTGACCCTCCTCTGCTCATGCTGTCTTTCTCTCTCTCTCAGAAATAAATAAAACATAAAAAAAAAAGGGCACCGTCCACATTCTGCCTAGAATTGAGTTGAGGACTGGCCTTTTCCAGATCCCATTGCCAATATCGTTTTTGATGGTTTTCTTTTTTCTTTCCCTCCCTAACCATAGCTGAGAAGAAATGGATTTGGGAAGAACGGCTTTTTGCAGAGCCGCGGTTCCAGCCTGTTCTCCCCTTGGAGAAGCACTTGTAAAGCAGAGTTTGAGGACTCAGACACGGAGACCAGTAGCAGTGAAACATCAGATGACGATGCCTGGAAGTAGGCATATAAATGTTCACAAATCTGACCCAGGAAACTCAGCTTGTGTGTTTAGGGAGTATACAAAAGAAAGCATTCTTTTCCTTTTCTTATGTTGTTGCTGAATACTTCATGCACAAGGGAAATAATCTTATCCCAAAGAGAGAGCAATTGGCTTGTTTAGCTTTTGTTGTTGTTCTTCCCTGTTATCTGCTTAATAGAAGTTTGTGTGTTGGGAAAGATTTTTTAAATACACACACACACAGACACAGTATATATGGGGCGATGCACAGGTGGGAGCTGGCAGTGCAGAGAGGAGGAGACACCGGTCTGCAGCAACAGCTTCTACTACCAGCCCTTGGGGCACTCACCCCTGTGCTCAAGCAATCATTGTCAATGACAAAGTGACTATTGAAGTTATAATTGTATTAAATTAATGCTAATAATTTGGATATTTTATTTTATTTTTGGCTGCTCGGGTAACGATAGCCCTTAACCAAGCATACATGGTTTTCGTTTTCTTTTTTTTTTTTTTCTTTTTGGGTACAGCTGTAAAATATTTGGATATAGGAAATGTTGTGTTATTCTTGCAGCCTTGATATTCAGGGTGGATTGTAAAATATAAATTTTTGTGAGATTTCAAAGATTAAGATTATTTTGATAACATTATTTACAGATTTAAAAGGTGGTTATCACAAGTCTGTTAAGGGGGAAAACTACTGCATAAAATAACTAACTTGGAATAAATATTTTGCATCAGTTTGGAGTGTCTTGTGTAAGAAGTATATTTCCTTTAAAATTAGATGAGTGGATTCTTTGGGGGAAATACTTTTAGAAGTCTGAGGGAAATCTGAATTCAGATACACCTGTTTCTCCTTTCAGCAGATAACTTTTCTGATGCGAAAAAACTTGTGCAATAAATTACCAGTAATAAAATCAGAAACCCAAGTTTCCTTCCTGAAACTGATTTTTACTGCCTAGCTGTTTACCAGTGTGTATATTTTAAGGAAGGTCTGTGTCTCAGTTTTCCTGCTAAATAAGAACATGGGAGAGTGTTTGAGCGAGTACTGAGTGACAAGTGGAGGGAGCACAGTTTTTCATTCAACGTACACTTCCCCAGCTCTCCTTGTACAGCCCAGGCATTTTGCAAGGCTCTGGGGATGCAGAGAGTGCCCAGCCCAGTAGGAAAGAAAAGAAACAGTTACATTAAAAAATAAAACCTTAGTCCAAAATTTTATGGACCAGGTAGAAGTTAAACCAAACAGATCCTGACACTGGTACTCTTTGGCCCTCCCTACAGTGGCTGTAGATGTCCAAGATCATACTCTAATGGGAGACCAACAGCAGAATAACAGGCTTGACTGCATGTTAGGAAGAGGACTAACTCATAGTGTCTTTTGAAGGGGTAGAGGCCTAGAGACAGACTAGCATGACATTTGCGGGAATCTAACGGTTCGGAAGGCAGAAACCCTATCTGCCACACTATTACATAGTCTCTCCTGCTACAGGGTACAAGCAGTCCAAGTGGAAATGTTTGAGCAATAAAAACTGTGTCATATTTCATTGAATATATTTGAAGACATTCTCTTATGTAGTAACAAGAAAACTTGGCAGTTATGATACTACATTGTCGATCCTGATTTCAGTGTTGAAATGTGGGAAAAGGTGCATCTTAAAATCTGTGAAATACTATAACATGAATTAAGTTGCAAAAGTATTAAACCAGAAATGAGAAACTGGTTGAGAGAGCTATCATCCCTGTTTAGCCTTGGGCTTTTCCCCTAACTATCTTTTACTGAACAGATTTCTAAAAACGTGTCCTTTTTCTCACTTGGAATTAAGCTGGACTGAGAGCACATGCTTTCAACACTTTACAAGCTGTTGCTGGTCCTATCTTGGCCTTACATGGTGGGGGTGGGGGCTGCTACCATAAGTCTCTGTCTTGTTTAGAAAAGGGAGTTTGGAAACCTGGGGTAACTCAGAGCTCCTGCCTCTTATGGCTGCATATATTTGGGGGAGGTGGCAGAGAGATCTGACCTGCAGGAAGAGCCTCCCTTGCCCCTGGCCAGCCTAGGTGAAGGCTTACCCTCATCTGATAGATTTATAATGTTCTCCCTGAACTTTCGTTCCTTGGCTTGTGTGGACTATCTTCCCTCTATAGCCAAGCAAAACAAAACCCAAAAAAACAGGAACAGGGAATTGGTGTTAGGGAGAGACTGCTGGCCTTTGTGTGACTTGGTTATGCAAAAGCTGTGGTTGCTTCCAGAGAGGCACAGGGCAAGGAAAAGCTTTTCAGCCTAGAGGAAAGACAATTTTCCTGGCAGAAAGCCCAGAAGGGCAGACAGCTGCTTCCTTTCCCGGGTGTTCCCTAGAATGGAGAATGGCGCTAACTTGGGTAACATCCACTTGGGACAAAACAAGAATGAACAAGGTGACACTTCCCTGCTGGAGGCTATTAAATGGCCAGTGATAGGCAGTGATAGGGGCCCAGCCAGCCTAGGAGACAGCTGTTTGTTTCTTTTTATATAGGCAGAGAAACAAAAGATGTTGAAAGGGACTTGCCTCATACTTAATGTAATGAGGTGGGGCAGACTTTGTGACACTTTTTCAAACGAGGGGCGGCTCCTCAAAGTGGCCTGCTTTCCCCTGCCCATGCTCCAGACCTGCCTAGACTTGTAGTTGCTGCCCAGGGAGCTAAATCTCCTCCCCAAACATAATCTTGTAAACTCAAGTTAACCTGGCCTTTCCTCTCTGCCTCTGGCTTTCTGTTTCATCCTCCTCTCCCGTTCCCCTGCCCTCTGCCCTGTCTTTTGCAGGTCTTGGCTGGTGTCAGGAAAGGAGTCCCACTCCATGGCCTCCTACTCTGGGGAGCCGGGGCTCCTGTCCTGTGGGTCCTGTGACATGGTTTTCCGCTCCGGGGCCCTGCTGGCCACGCACACTCAGCGCTTCTGCATTGGCCGTCTGACCCAAGAGGTAACACCTGGTGCACACCCCTCAGCAGGCCGCCTCTGGCCAACCGGGCGGGTATTCAAGCAACTCTTTGAGCATTATCTCATCCCACACCCTGTCACCAGGTTGTGCCACAAGAACACCAGGGCCTCTCAGACCAAGAGGCCAGCAAATTGGCTCTGAAGAAGCTAACGGAGGAGGTACCCTCCGCTCGAAACTCGGCGTCCTTCCCAAGCCTCCAGATCGGGCAGATCATAGGTCAAATTACCCCTAACACTGAGATCGCGGGTTCCTGTTATCTCCAGGTGCAGCGGCTGTGGCTTTATCTACAGGAAATGCGACCCTGGATAACAGAGGTCCCCCGGAGATCAGAAGGGCTCCGAAGGCGTTGTGAGGCGCCGACTCAGAGCCCCACCCACGAAGCTGCTGGAAGCCCAGCAGAGCGGCTTCGGGCGCTGCAAGGGACTCATGCAAAGCGGTTGGTGGAGACGAAGGCACTGAGCCTTGCCCTGGAACGACGCAGCGAGGGTGAGGGGGAAAGGAAGGGGACCCGCTCCGCCCCTCCCCCTTGGGATTTGAATTTGTTGGCCCCGATGCGACTCGATCCCTTACCGCCTCAGAACTGAGCCAACAACTCCAAGGTTTGGCCCAGACCCGGGGCGGAGTATCACGCCTTATCGGCCTGGAGCGGGAGCTTCGAGAACTCAGGGCAGAAGCTGGGCGAACACGGGGAGTTCTAGAGATGCTAGGGGCGCAACTTCAGCAGCTACAGCCGGAGTCCGGGTGAGACCCTGCTCTGGGAATTCGGTAGCGCAGCTGAGCCGCCTTGGGGGCGGGGCCTGGGGGCGGGGCCGGGGCGAGAGCCTCCGGGGGGCGGGACGCGCGAGGCCTAAGCCACTAAGCCGCTGCAAAGCTCCGAGTGGTAGGTCGGAAGGGGCGGGGTTTCCGGAGGACTGGCGTCTGGGTCAGTCTGTAATGCCTTTTCCGCGCCGGTATCCCTCTACCCCAGGACCGGGCTCAACCCCTTGCGAGAGGCAGAACTCTGTTGTCCGGTACTACAGGCGAACTCAGGGACTCTGACTGCCGAGATTGGGTGAGGTCTGGGGCCCGGGGGACGGTATGGGAGAAGCACTATCAGTTCTGGAAAGACGGCTGCCTTTTTGTCCCCTACTCCCTCCCTAGAGCCCTGCGCGAGGCCTATGTTCGAGGAGGGGGCCGGGACCCCGGCGTTCTGGGCCAGATATGTCAGTTGCAAGTGGAGGCCTCAGCACTGGAGCTGCGGCGGTCGCGGACTCGCAGGGGTGAACAGGAGGAGGGCCAGCTAGGAGAGCCTTTGGGAAGCGGTGGTCTTAATTGTGGGAGGAGAAAAGGGCGGTTGAGGGAAGTGTCTTTGGCATGGGGACCACCCGAGCAAAATCTCAGAGGTAGAAAACCTGGGTGGTCTTTGTGGTAATTGCTAGAATGTTACCTGACGAGTCTAGCCATGTCCAGAGAGACCTAAAGCTGGAGAGCTGCTCAGAATCGCACCAGCTGGTCACCAAAGGTCAGAGGTGACAGGTCGGACTTTTCATCATCGCAGGAAGAAGGGCAGATGCGGCCGCCCTGGGTGAACTTCTAGTAGTGGAAGCTGAAAACCGGCGCCTGGAGGCAGAAATCCTGGCCTTGCAGATGCAGAGAGGCACAGGCCCTGCGTCCTGGGGTCAGCGAGTACCCTCTTCCCAGGCCACCTAACTCTCTTCAGCAGACCGAGATCAGAAGAGGGGTTAGAGGGATCCTGCATGGGGAATGAGGCGCGCGTGTTTATGTCCTGTCCGTCCTGTACAAGTGCATCTCCAGGTGTCCATGCACCCGCCATGGGTTTGGCTCCCCAGGGGAGGGTTATCTCACCGCTGTTACTTGCTGCTTCCTGCTCAGGGGTGCCCTACTCTTAATTATGCTCCCAGGGCCTAGGGAGCTTCGACCTGCGGCGAATCCCAGGCCAAGCCTAAGGAGGGAAGAACCCCCACGCCTGCCACCCCGGGTGGCTCCCCCACTGCCACCGATTCCACACCCCACAGGTGTCCTATTGAGTGGCACAGAAGAGGCTGTGAGCACCCAGGGGTTTGGTGGGGGAGGGTGGCTGGCAGTTCTGTCTTGTGCAGCTGGGGAAGCATTGGCACCTGGGAGGCTTTCCGGAGTCCACTCTTCCCCCACCCACAGCCGCAGCTTCCTGGAACCATGACCAGAAACCTAGGCCTGGATGCACACTTCCTTCTGCCTACTTCTGATGTTCTGGGCCCTGCACCTTATGACCCTGGGTGAGGCCTGCTGCTGCTTTTGACATCCTCTGTGATTAGGCCACTACTTCTGATTAAGGAGAGACCCACTAGGACAAGCTGGGCGGGCCGGGAGGGGGCGCTGGTGTCAGAGGAGTTGGTGGTGTGTGTATGTATAGGTGCCAGCTGAGACCTGTATTCTTCAGGGCTGGCCTGGTCATTTTCTATGACTTCCTTCGGGGACTTGAGGCTTCTTGGATTTGGGTGCAACTACTGACTGGTTTGACTCGAGATGGACAGGATACAGGAGGGGCCACAGCATTGCCCCCAGCCCTTTGCTTGCCCCCAACTCCAGCTCCTGGGCCCATGGGCAACTGTGCCATCCTTGCCAGCAGGCAGCCTGTACCCAGGTTAGTAGGTGGAGATTACTTTGGTGCCACAACTTGAGGCTTTTCCCTCATTCTGCTGAGTTTTCTCATGTGTATACAGGGCCACTGGCTGTGAGAGCTATCCTAGGAAGGGAGATCAGTTCTGACACCTTGTTTTGGTTGTTACAGACTGCCACCTTCACCATCAGTATCCTTGATCTGTGAGCTACAGGCCTGGCAGCGGCTGGCATGGGCTAGGACACCACAGCCAAAGGCTTGGACCTCACTGGTGTTATTTGATCAGGAGCAAAGGGTGTTAAGTGGACGTTGGCGTCTTCCACTTCGGGCCCTTCCTCTGAACTCCAGGCTTAGCCTTGGGCAGCTGAATGGGATTCCCCAGGTGAGTGTGGAGGACAGGGACTGGGTCTACTCCAGGTCCGGATGCAGTCAGTACTATGTCATCTCTCTCCAGGTAGGTCAGGCTGAGCTCTTTCTGCGACTGGTTAATGCAAGAGATGCAGGTGTCCAGACACTGGCAGAGATCAATCCAGCAAGTGCCCAGGAATACCAGTACCCACCTCTGGTGAGGGCCCACATGGAGCTAGGGACACCACAGGTGTGATTGGTGTGGTTAATTGCCAGCATTTGTTGACCACCATGTGCCAAGTTATCAACTGCTGTGAATGAACTCATTTAACCCTCATACATCCTATTAAGTAGATCAACAGTGTAAACAGAAGGAAATCAGAGTACAATGAGGTTAACTTGGTTTTACATTGGGTAGTCCAGACATAAACCTCTTAAAAGATCTTTCTTCTCCCTCTTCCATAGATGTCCAGCTCACCTTCACCGGAAGCCAGCTCCCTTGCCCCAAAAGCTGGCTTTGTTGATCCCCCTCCTCCCACAGAAGAGCCCCTCAGCAGTCAAGGATTGAGATGAGGGTTTGACCCTCCCCCCTCTGGCTTTGAGTCTAGGAAAATATGGGCAGAAGTAGCTTAACATGCACAGATGGAGGATGTGAAGTTTGTTGCCAGGCCTGTAGTTTTACTATTATACCTTCTGAGGGTCTAGGAGCAGGTAGCAGATAAAAGCTCAAGATATGAGCTTCAACAGCTTTACCACCTTTCACAAATACTCGTTTTCCTTTTGTAAAAAAGTTATTTGCAATATTGCCTGGCATCTAAATCCTTTCAAAGATAAGCAAGGGTAGTCTTTAATTCATTAAAGGAATTTGATAAACTTATCCCCTTATTTTTTTGCTAAAGCCTCTTATTGCCACACTAATTCAAATTCAAGCTACCTCAGGCTATCCTCTAGAAAGCTGCGCAAGCTCTAAAAGTCCCCATAAACTAGGAACACCCCTCCCTATCTTATACATTTAGAGGGTCACTTGTGAAATCTGGCTGAATTTGGTATTAGGCCTAGCCCCAGACCCTGTCACACAAAAGGTCAAAGGCCCAAAACTCTTAGGACTTGGTACATGCAATACGAAGGCAACTTTAGGAAAATCTGCAGCCATGAGTTACCATAATCAATCAGCCCAGAAAAACTCCATTTTCTATTTAGGGAACAAAATGCAAACTGAAAAACTGCCTCTGACATTGGATATTAAAATGGCAGGTTCTGACCTACAGTCTGTCTAGTGTGGCAAAGTAGCCCTAAGGATGGTCAGAATTAAATAAACCCCTTTAGGTAATGTAGGGCAGGCACTGTTTGGAATTCAGATCCAAAGAGTGCCTGGTACATAACAAGTAAACTAAGGGTCAGTCAGGTCAGACGCAGCTCACATAAGGAGGCTCTCCCATTTACCTTACATCCTGGGCATCAGTGAGGTCCCAATGGGATGGCTTTAGCACCAGTCCCCAGTCCTGAGCATGAGCACCCTTGGGCTGGGCAGCCAGAATTGGGCAGTTTCTGCCTTTCAATCCCACTTCCCAGACAGAAATGCTCTAGGCAGCCAGGGATCCCCCTCAAGATCTTTAAACACAAGTCCAGACCAAGAGCTTTTTTTAGCATCTTTATTTGAGAAGTCAAAACTGCAGACGGGTAACAATTCAGATTCAAGTTGATAAGATATATTTCAGCCTTTCTGTACAGAAAACAAAACTCCCATCAACCAGCCTCTCCACAGATTCTCCCAAGCACATCCAAAGGGTCTGTCCCTCAGCCCCTTTCGAACCAGAAAGCTTAATCCTCTGTAATTAGCACAGTTTTCCTCAAGGACCACTTTACCCCCCATCACTCCCCTCACAAGTTTTCTTCAGAGTCCTTTTTCCAGACAGGATTATTTGCCACCAGTTGGAGACTAAGTGGATAAAAGTATCATCCAAGGCCTGGCTCAGAGGCCGTTTCCACTCATAAAGTCCATCAACAGAAGTATCAGCACCAAAGAGCAAGATCTTCACCAAGTTGTTTTTGTAGCCCCCATGAAGGGACAGCACCACTGAAGGTTTGCAACATAGCTGAATTTAGTATTTAAATGGAAAAAGTATAGCACCATTGGAAGACAAAGGGCCTATAAGCCATGCTTGATTTGATCACCTCCACATTAGACAAATTTGGATGAGAACTAACAGAAATCAGTACAGAAAGGGGGTTGGGGGGGGGTCCCTTTGGCCACTATATAAAACCTGGAGTGCTCCAAGGCACAGATTCAGCCAATGTTTAAGAAAAAAATCATCAAAGCCTCAACCTTTGCTTACAATCTTTATTGAAGTTATACAAAAAGAATCCCCCCAAAGTGAAAAAATACATTATATACAAAAACACTTTCCCTCAGGAGGAAGGCTCTGTGCCCTCTTTTAACATGCAGTGCTTTCAACTGTAGCTCCGGCCTCCACTGTCCCCTCCACTGCTGCCCGGCTTTCAGCCTGATTCGCCTGGAAGATAAACAGGGAGCCTGGGCATAAATGACCCTACCTAGTTTAAGATGTTCTGTCTTATATAATTGAGTAGAGGCCTTAGAGAAAGTGAACAGGTCTCTTAAAACCTTGCTTTGCTCCCTACACGAATAACAGGGCAATGATGACAAAGTAGAAGGCCATTTCCTAAATTTTCTAGAATAGGGCTGACCGAGACAATGTTTAATAGGTTACCTAGAAAGGAGGAAGCAGAAGTAACCCAATGGTCTTGCCAATTAAATACCTTCTCACACATTCATTGCAAATTAAATACCTTCTCATACATTCATTAGAGTGGGACCTGTGGTAAGTATATAGTTTCCATCTATGAATGGGACATCCTACATTCCATAACCAAACTGTTTCCTGCACAGTGGATTAATTGAATGCAACCCTTATAAAAACAAACAGGCTCAAGGTGAGGAACATGCACTTTAGGAGGTCTAATTTCCCCTGGCCCCGAGAACAAGAGGAAATAAGGCAAGAGTCCAAGCCCTCTTAACTGCCCACCTCCTCCTCCATGCTTTCTGAAACTTCATTTCCACTGGAGACTGCATCCCCACCGCCTCCATTCACCTCCAGCTCTTGTTTGGCTTTCTTTGCATCATCTTTTCGGGGACTCTCTTCATCTGGTTTCCTCTGAAGATATAATTGTGAAGGCTTCACAAATGTGCTGAATATTTTTAAAAGAACTGCAGAACTTTTTAATAGTCCCTTCACTCCTCTCCTCTCCCACCACTGCCACCCCAGGGTTTTGCAACAGGATCCCATGGCTCTAAGGGTCTTCTCCCATGGCCACAGAGGCAGGTGCCAACCTGAGCTCAATTCAATAAACTGGTCTGCCCCAACATACCAATTCAGCCTCTCTAGTGAAAAGGTGGGGTAGTGTGAGGAGTAGATCTAAACAATACCCAAACCACAAGTCTGGGAGTCAGAAACAAAGGTATCAATCTCCCACAAGAGAAAAAAAACTATTGTAACTATAGGCAGAAGGCAAACTTAGGAGTTTAAGTATCAGCAGGTCTGCTGCTGAATGACTACTGCCAAAGAAAACCTCCCAACTTCCCAAGATGAGCCACGTGACCAAGTCTCCTCAGCAACTTTTCTGATTTGATTGTCCTGGGCCAAAAGAGGCCTGGAAATTTTTGTTAGAAGACATATTCAAGTGAAAACTACTTTCACTCAAATGCTCACCAACTATGCAAAATGAATGTCTTATTGCACCAAATATTAGGGTATGCATTTCCTATGTTATCATTTGAAGGAAAAATAAAAAAGCAGACTGGAAACACAAAAATGACATGTAGATTTACCTTCTTTCTGACAAGGTGGGAAATATCAGTCACACAATTAGATGAGGAAGCACCATCTGTTGGCTTTCTACTGGCAACCTGGCAAAAAGGACTTTGTTAGCAATGTACAGCTACATATGAGACAAACAGGCCTAATAGTGACAAAAATCACCCGCATACTCACCATGGAGACGGAAGTGCCTCCTCCACTAGGAGTGAAACCTGAAGTAGAGCTCTCCACCTGTTTGGGAGGTGACAGACCCAGTGGGGCCCGGGATAGAACCCACCAGGTCACCCACAATCTTACAACGTTACTGACCATCCAACCGATTAAGACCTCAAATACTAGTGGGCTTCCTTATAGAAGCAGTATCGTTCACCTGCCTCTACCGATACCTGCCACCCTAAAACTGGGAGCTTATGCAGCATAGATGTTAAATTAACCCCTCTGTATCATGTAATCACCAGCAGGGTAGGAAGCTCCCTGACATTCCAGCAGCCAAAAGGAGAGCCAGTAAATGTGGGGCTAAAAACCATCAATACTTTGCTAATCTAAACAGGAGTTCTCAGAGATGGAAGTAATAGCTTACATTTATTAAAAGCAAACATCATTCATACTGTCATTAAGTACTTTAACATATAGGTACTATTATCCCCATTTTATAGATGAGCCAACTAAGGCAAAGAAATGTTAAATAACATGCCTGTGGTCACACATAGTAAGCCGCAGATGCAGAACTCAAACCAGTTTGGCTCTAGAGCGTCTATTCTTAAGCGTTATACTATTTGATAGGAGTAATTAGATAAATTCTCACATTCCTTCAAACAACCAGCTCCCTAGAAATCACGTCATGGTTCCTAGACAAATGGAACACTAATACCATGATGCCTTCCAACAATATTATACAATTACCAAAACTTTAAAAAGAAACCAAACCAACCAGAGTTGCTTTCAGAGCCAATTCAGCTACATTCCCACTATGCTGGGACTCTTTTGCATCTTCTATCTTCTCTCTAATTTCAGGTAGCAGTTCCTTCAGCTCCTCAATTTCTTTCTCATATTCAGTAGAAGATCCATCAGCCTCCTTCATCTGCTCACTTAGTACAGCTACAAAGAACAGGCTAAAGTGATCAGTAATAGTTACCACAAAAGGACCCATTTTTTAAAAATCTTGCCCATTACTGGATCCACCAAGCTTAGCATTAAGTAGCTCACTCACCCATTCTCTTCTCAATGACTTCAATAGATTTGCTAAACTGTGCCACTGCCTCATCATACTGAGAGTTGTACCCATAGGCCAAGCCCAGCTGATAGTGGGTCTCTGCAAGGAGACGGTCATGGGCTTCCAGATACTGTTCTTGAAGGTTTAGGCAGGCCTGGAACTCCTCCACAGCTTGGACATAATTCTCTAATAAAGAGAAAAAGAATACTAAGCAAACAGACAGGTTTTAATATAATATTTCTGAATTTTAGATTATTCTACAGGAATGCTCTCCTGTTTTACATTTCAATTTCTTTGTAGCATCTCCAGGATCCTTGACTATAAAAAATATCAGGGGGAAAAAAAAAAAAAGACAAAAACTACTTAAAGACTTTAGTTAGAGGAGATTGTTCACAGTTCTAGGAGCTATAGGAACCTAAATTATCCTTTAAAGCCAGATGCCCACAACTTATGACCAATCAAGCTAAAGAATTAGAAGAAGAATGGGGGGGGGCACATTAAAGGAGGGAGTAAAATAAAAAATGTATTACCAGATTCAACACTAACTTCTCCAAGTTTAAGATGTGCCTGTGCAGCATAAAGCTGAGCTTCTTTTGTTTCTTGCCTAAAAGAAAGAAAAGATGATCAGAAACCTTAACATCATTTGTCCAAACCTTACTGGTATTCTATTTTCAACCTCTGAACTCCCAACTTGAGCCTATACACACCAAAAGTTTTACCTTTTAAAAATAATCTTTGCTAAATCCAGCATATCCCAGGCAAGCTCTAGATTCCCAATCTCCTCCTCTTCACTTTCTTGAAGAGACTAAAAAGTATATCCAAATCATT